ATCAGCAAATAGCAGACAGGGGGAAAAGGGGGAAAAACTCGAACCTATTTCGTATGCGGCCGTGTGTTGTGGTGGTCATTTCATTCCATCATTAGTTTATCTAGTGAATTAATCACCATACGTGTATCTCATGTTATGCTGCACTGTGCCATTGTACATTTCATTTCGTGGTTGGTGAGTACAGAAATATTTGGACCTTATACCGCACCGTACTATACTGCTTTTCCTGTCATTAACCTTTCGCACTTTATCATTATTCATCTTTTTTATTGTGCGTCTGTAGTATCTTAAGTCCTTAGATCTCTTGTGTCTGCCGCTTCAGCGTACAAGATATATATGATTATTATCACATAAAGTGTGCATAAATATCTAACAAATGTAATGGTTGGTTAACGTCTTTGTCTTGGATGCAGCCCGCGGCTTTTGTGTGGAAGTCTGGCTGGAATGTTTTATATAGTGACTTGGAAAAACAAACATGTGGCCGTCATCCGTTCGATCAAATGTGTACCAAATGGAGCTCCGTTGGCCTTTGCTGGTAGTTTTGATATCCAATAAATTATCCTGATAACTTGAGCCGTGTGCCATCATAATGTGTCTCTCTCATCCTGAGCATTGACAGTGATTGAAACCTGACCACCATGAAATGCACACTGTTCAGCCATGCGTGTTATCGAACACGTGCTTTCACAATGAAAACAGAAGGTTAAACTTTGTACTATGAGTGCAAAGCTGCGTGAAACCCCATTTAAAGGAATCTGTATTCGCAAAACTTTCGTCAAAAATAGTTTTCAGAGAACTGCAGGGTATGCATGGTTGAACTCGGTAATCTTGCTGATGGGAAGATGCAGGGGGAGTAGTTTTACCAAAAGCGTCTTTCGCCGGATGCAATGTGGTAGCTTACACCCAGCCTAATTAACTGGCCTGGTGGATTCTAACGTTCCCAAGGGCGTGCGCATGATGACCTCCAACTGCTATTTTATGTCTCGGAAAAGAGTAACTGGCTTGCTGGTCAAGTAGAACATCGTCATTCGTGTGGAATTACCCGATGTGCCATCAGAAGTGACGTATATACATCTGCCCGGGCTGGGTATGCAGTATGACTTGCTCCAAAGAAATTAACGTCAGGAGAGTCTTCAATCGGTGCAGAAAGAGATAGATCCTCTACAACCTGCAGCAAGTTTGGATTCGAAAATGGGACAATTTTCAAGAAACGTGGTAAAAAAGTCTTGCAGTTTAGTCAAGAACCTTCCTATTTCTTCATAGGTGTTTCACGCACACGCATAGTGACAGGCAATACTTACATGTAATCACAATTTTCCGTTAACCCATGGTTGGCATTTCAAACTGATAATTTTGCCTATCGACCAAGGTCCTCCTGACTTTGTGTCCACGTTGTTTTTCTTTTAACAGGTGCTTTGTTACAGATAACGCAACAAATCAGAAAGAAATCTCTTCGTGTTCCAGCTCCAAAGTAGCAGACTCTAGAAAATTTTGAAAGCGCGGGGGGGGTGGACATTGTTTAACTTCATGTCGTGTAGTACATTTTTATTTTAGTTTCAGTTATATTCAGATGTGTGTTTCACGTGATTGCAGGGCAATTTTTAAATCAATTGAAATCTTGGTGTATAATATAAAAAAAAATGGAAGAATATTTCTTTACTTAGCTACGTAAAAAGTTCCTTAAAGCATTAAGGAAGCTTAAAGCTTGAAGCTTAAGAAAAAAGGAAAATGTAACGCTCAGTTACTCTGGAATTTAATGTATCGTCCCTGCTGAAGTAATCTAGTATAGATCGCGTAATGAACGCTGCGAAATGGCTTCCCAGTGATTAGTATATTTCAGTGACATCATCTTTCTATCGGACACCTGATTCAGAGAGACAACCAAGGTCTAAACACTATTCTCTCAAACGTGGTGTTTGGTCTTTCGGTGGTAGAAATGTAAAAAGAGTTCTGGTTGTTGTAGGAAATTGGTTTTCCTACTGCTGACTTGAATAATCAGAAAGTGTAGGATTGCATCCCTCGCCAGAACAATGCGTCTGTGATTGAGGGGCCGTTCGTTTCCTGTACAGATTCCCCCGCTCCACCGCTGCTCGACACCTGGGGCTATCTGGAGCAGTCATTTCTGGCAAGCTGTAATTTTTTTATGTCGGTTATCCGACACCTCCCCCCGCTCAGAGCCAGCGGTCCTGAGGGAGAGTTTCACACTGCACGTGTCCAGCCTGTCCGAGTCTGGTGCTTTTTGTTTGCACTTTGGAAGAGCAGGTACTTGCTCACAGGAACGAAATGTTGTTTTGTGTGTCCTCAATCGTCAATATTGTGTTCAAATTCGGTCCTCAAAGAAACTCTAGTAACGTAGTTACGTTTAAAAAACAGGGAAACACAATGTCTTGTCCTGTAACTCCTTTGTGTAAGCTTGTGGTAATTGTCAGAGGCGGGTCTCGTTAATCAACACATCATATTCAGTCCCATGTGGTCCACCCTGATGTTATGCTCTTCCGGAGGATTCCCTCCCGCGACTGCAATTGTCACCTCTTCTGCTGCAGAAAGCTGACCGCGGGACTTCTGCAAGACGTGGGCGCCACATTTGAGTGGGCCTGGATGCAAATCCGATTGCCTCCCCCGAAGAGGTTGCGCCGATTGATTTTATTTTTTAACACATGAAATGTTTCCCATGTTCAATCTGCAGAAGCTTTGTGCATGCGCTCCCCGACTTTCCAGATGGTGCTTGACTCGACGGTTAGAGAGATTTTTACAGCTGTTGCAAACGCTTAAAAACCGTATCCTGTTCTCGGTTAAAGGTACGTTGTCGTTTCTAAGAGGCACACAAGAGAGAATTAAATAGTTTACATTAACCTAGGGCATCAGCATATGAAATCGAGGTTGCTGCACCATTCAAGCCAACGTGATCGCAGCCACCGTGACGACATCTTGATATCGATATTTGAAATATCTACCAAGCTCGAACATCAAGGCACCTGATCAATGATTCAGATGGCCGAAAGTGTGGAGCTCGTGATGATCCCCGATGACAGCTTCACATATGCTACGTGGCGTTTTGAATAATTCTTTTAGCACGAAACCCTTGTCATGCTCCTTCTGTCCGTCTCAAAATAGCTACTCGTGATATCCTGTCGTGGGCTATAGAAATGTTGCACTGCGGACGGGAAACCAGATATGTTGCATGCAGACATAGAGACTGCTGCTGTGAATAGCCTTGCATGGATATGTCTCTGAAAAAGGCGTTTCTGCTCGCAGTGCATCGGTGACCCTGGGGAAAATGTATTCTCAAAGGTCTGGCCAGAGGTTGATGACTACTAAAGAAGACAATTACACGCGTTTCTCGGATTCCCTCATCGCAATTCTGTGAATATTTATTGAAAAAAGACACCAGCGCAATATTTACAGACTACCACACCCAGTGTCCTTTGCTTTGATACAGTTAATGCAGATAATAATATGGTAATATTAGTATAGTAAAGCGTATAATGTTTCAAAATATAGGTTTCTTTTAAAATTCAAGTCACCAAATACCCTTTTCACGTTTTGGGATTATTAGGGAGATATCCTGCTAAATCTTTATCAAAAGATATAAACATTTTAAGGTTTGATTTTGAGGTGTACAGGTTTGATTGACAAATATGCCACTAAGAATCACATTAAAGCTTTTTCTTGACTTTCTTTGAAAAATACTCCAGTGTTGTTACTTTTGATTAAAACAGCAACCGATTTCAAATGTTGTAGGTCCAATTAACATGTGTGTTTCGAGCTCAAGTGAATCGCCGCGTCTGTTTTGCTATTTCCTAGCTGACATGTATTTTATTTTGAAAAAAGTGTTTGCCAAAGATCTTGATTCATAATTGTAATCCGTCGGAAAAGAAATGACCACAAAGAAAAGAATATTGTAAAATACTGAACGATACACAAAAGCACCGCGTGAGTTAACTCGAGTGACATTCCTAAAGTAAGCGGCGGAGTATTTTGAGACCTTCCGAAAATATTCGCTCTCTTGAACCCCCCTCCCCCTAGTGTCCAGCTGCTTTGGGGGATGCGGTCCATTACATCAGTTCAAGATATTAGCTTTCTGGCATAGGATACGTGCGTCTGCCAATACCTGTATATGACCAGTTATTGCGTGGGATTAACTTCATCCGTGCGATATAACGCGGCATGCCCCGTCGTCCTTATCTGAAAGTGGACTTCCCAACGGCATAGTTCACATGATGAAAAATAAACGAAGGCAAAGTGTGCAGAGATTGTCAGACGTGCGATGGGTTTATTAATTTGGGGGTAAGCTGTACTCCTCTGCTTGATTCCTCGCTCCCTGGCCGCTCCCGAAGTGACTTCCCCTCTTACGTGTTAGTTAATCATTCACCCCTGCCTGTTGATTACCATCCAACTTGTTTTTTCCCTGCGTTAGTGTACGCCACCTATCCCCAAACGAGGCTGTCTACTTTCTGATTATTGGACAGTTCAATATTAAAATAGTATTTCGGATCAACCAGGGTGTCTGTTTTCACACGGCGACCGGAAAGCTGTAGCAGGGCCCGGATGGTTGTGTTGTTTTGTCCAGGCTTGGAAGCTGATTTGCTGCCTCGCTTCCTCGAGTAATTACTTGATCGCTAGCTTTTTTCTGGTGAAGTGAGTTTCTTGCTGTTGATGTGTTGTGTTTTAATCTGCTGAGCACTGCGTTCTTAAGCAAAAGTAGCCGAGGAAGAAGCACACTTTGCACTGAGAAAAATTCCCCACTCTAGGAAGATCCGGGACCAAACTCACGCCTGGATAATCTCAGGGTGGATGTCCAACGCGCTTTGAAGACACTTCTCAACGGATCTTTAGTTTCCATTCATCCGTGTACTTTGTGCACGTGTCAACTGTCACCAGGAAGATTGCATCTCCCTGATTGTCCCAATAAGCCCCCTCCCCCTCCAACAATCCGGAGCGGTGGCTGTTTCTCCTTACATTAACAATTTTTCCACCTTTCATTCGAATATCCCACGCAGATTCAATCGCCCAAGCAGAGCAGGGAAAGAGGAACGAGGGACTTGGAGAAACTTTGTCAACTGGCCTGGAGACTTTTGAGAAAAAAATTAAACTTTTTAAGTGGACATGGCGACGACACAGGAGGAATGCGATAAATTCGCAGCAACGTATCAGGCGAGCGCAGGTAAGTGACTTTTTATGTAATCGGAGTTTAATCGCTCGTAAGATTTTTTCCTTATCAAACGGACTTACGAAGACAATATTCTTATACTCACGCGTTTAGACTTCAAATAGACGATTTTTTTCTGAAATCATAACTCTGTACGTTTACCATGCAACTCGTCCATTTGTCTTGGTATAGCCTATGTTGCTTATGTAACTCTTTCTGTTAAAATACCTCGACTTGCAACTTCTACTTTCCTTTCACGCATAGCATTTCGTAACTTTGACACACTAGGGCCTTGTTCCAGTTACGAGTTTTGAAGAAGACTCAGGAAAGATGGGCACTATTCTTAAACTTGCGACCCACCCACTTACCTATATGTACTCTTCTGTATATTTTTGTGTTGTAAACCTCTGATCCTAAGGTCACTTTGGTGAATCTTGGGATAAACATCACTGACCTTTGGCTAACATACTTACTCTAGAGCAACAAACCGAAGAGTTAGAGAAGAAACGACTGGGTGTACTAGTTAGTACTGGGTTGCTGTAGTGTTAATGAACAAACAATTACCTCTTCTTTACCTGAATGTATTTGTCATGAGGTCTCTCACTGTGTAAGATCAAGCAGTAACTTGTACATACCCTGGCAGACGGTACTATAGGCAATGTCGGTTTTGAAGGTTTTAGGGATGAAATTTTTGCGTTTAACGAGCTGGAAATCTTAATTACTATGCTGTGGCACATCACAGACAGGTGTCGAACCACACCGGTGGTGTACCGGGGGGGGCTTGGAGAGCTCAAACTTCTAATAAACACGAAATACCGTACTCACCTACAACTTAAACTTACTAACTCCAGATAGCCGTACATCCTAGTCCCCTGTGATGCAGCAACTGAGGGTGGCGCTTGATCATTGTGGGCGGGGGGGGGGGAGGAATTCCCGTCCAACCGCCCTCTCCTGTCAAATCTTGGGTGCGCCATTGAAACACACTGTCCACTGGCGATTGGGCACCTTTAACCTTCATGTGCCATTCTGCACGTACGAGATGATGCTCTGCAAGAGTCAATCTCCTTGATTTTGAACGAGACATTCGGGGTATACACTCGTTCCATTTCACCACGCTCCATCGTGCTCAAGCAGCACATAGTGTTTGCTTTCAAAATATTGAAACCATTAAAGGGTACGGGTTGCTCACTGTAGACCTATTTTGATACGTAGGACGGCCCCACGGGGGCTGTGTACATTTCATCCCTGAGATCTTGGTGGGTCACAGTCCGCGTTGTTCCGAGGAATTAAGTAATGTGCAAGAGGCAAATGCTATCTAAACACCTTCCAGGTGGGAGAGATTGACGCCAAAATATAACTTTCCGTGGTGATACGGTATGTCTGCTACAGGTTTATGGCAATTGAATGGTATTAGATCTAACTTTAATAACAAAAACAGTCGGCTGCTCTCGAGCAAAGTTTTCGAATGTTTTTGTGTTTTAGTAATTGATCGAGACGCAAGAAGGGAAGAAGCGATAATTTAGTAAACAGCTGGGGAACCAGTTACTCATCTCCATCGTCAGTTTGGTGTCTGTGAACCCTTTAACAGACGGTGACATTTAAAATGCATTTTAACCACCCCTTCCACTGATTAGAGTCAAAATTCAGGCTCATGGACTGATTCATGTTAATTATTCTATGCCATTCTGTCTGGTACCTGGTATGTGTCAGTACTGTGGGCGCCATTTTTAAACAGATCACATTACATCGCGCTCGAAAGCTCGTTGAAAAAAATGACAGATTCCGCGTCAGTGCATTCGGTAAGATAAATCACATACATGTACACACATACTACCGCATATTTCCTGTGCTTATTTTTCTTTCTGTGGCATCGGTCTTTTATGGTAACAAGATGTTCGTTTGAAACCGTTAGTTATCCAGTGTTGCTGCTCATATCTGTTTACAACACCAAACCCCCCCCTAACTTAGACGCCTTACACAAGAAGAACGGAACACAGTTAACAGATTGGGTATAGTTGCCGACGGGATGGGGGGGGTACCAACCGTTTACTGAATGTATTGTTTTTTATCGTTATATCAATCTACAAAAGACAGTCGGTTATTACGAGGATGATTTGATCTTGTATAGCTCTCCTGCGGTCTGATTATAGACGATCGAGCTTATCAGCAGAAAATCTGTCTCCTGACATCACGCTGAAGTTAACGTGACTGCAAAGAAGCTCAACTGGAGCAAGGAAGCGTCTGTGCGAACAATGTTTTTTAACACCGACCAACCAAGTTTATATACCCCCTATTACAACGTGGATTGGAGATGTAAAGAAAACTCGTCGTAAAAATACTGCAAAAAATTGTGTGGACTCGCACATTTGGGACGACGGGACCAGTCTTTATTAATGCCTTGAAAGGCTCGTATGCATTTTTGGTGTCATTTTCGGATTTACTTGTTCTTAACTGAATTGGGGGTTTACGTTTTGTTGATAGTCTAGTTTGTATATTCTGCCCATAGAACGTTGTTACCAAGTTAGAACCTTATAGAAATCTTTAACTAAAACCTGAAATTACACTTAACTTTACGTCATTCCGACCTGTGTAAGGTTTCGTTGACCATTCCATAGAAGGCTGTTGCAACTCCAGGCATTTCGGGTGTGTACTGTCAAGTTAAAGTGTAAAGATGTGCTGATAAGTCTGAAAACCCAACATATAACTGTAATTGCCATTCGTTGAGAACCTGTTAAGAACGAAGGACTATCAGGCACAGGCACACTGAGAAAAATTAATTCCTTGAATAGATTGTTAACGTGGTTGTTGTTAACGTGCACGTAGTACATGGAGTCCCCATAGTTGTATGTGCTTGACAAAAGGACGGGCACCTGCGTGGAGTTGCTATACCTAAGTCGTGCCTTTGTAAACCTGTTCAGACAAAACTATTTTTAGTCGATAGCGCACGAATATTACAAATTTACAAATTCTGGTTAAGTATGGTGCCACACGAGGGTCCATGTGCTCAAATTATCAGGCAACCTGGAACTTTGCCGCAGTCACGCAATAATACAATACAAAGACAGGGGAAAGGAGACCATTTCTCAAGGTTTATTTGCCATTTGTCTTCTCACTGCCAGGGTATCTTGCGCACGTCAAAATGCCGTGAATATCTGGCGGGCAAACATCAAACGCCGGCCGTCTGCTCATTCTATTTTATCGATGGCAATTACGTTAAATCGGGGCGCGACGAGGAAGTGATGGTGATTGGTGGTTGATAATAAACCTATCCCCGGTGCTTGCAAAAGAGAAGCGCTTGATAGACGTTGCGCATGGTCTGGTCAAAAAGAAGGCGCTAGCTTAACTGTTACCATAGTAAGAATACGATTAGCCGGCCCAGCAGTCTCGTTCCTTATAAACAGTTCATGATTTACACTAATGTAGTAGCGACAGAGAGGAAAATCTGTAGTTAACATGTGAGATGTAGTTGATATATAAATCCGTCGGCGGTAATGCTAATTTGGGGGCAAAATAGGCATATTGAACCGTGTAAACCCCCGCTGTGGGTACTTTATTATGTTGTAACCGTGACAATTATGTGGTCAGTAATGTCGCACTGACGATTACTTAGGGACAAGCCTTCTTTATTTCTCCCGAGATATGAATGGGGTTATGGTGACACTTCAGAGGTAGCGTTGTTTCCTGAGCAACTGAAATCACACATCTTCTAACTGGGCAAGTTGAGCACCTGTGGTCAAAATATCAAATTAGCTGAAGACAATTTGGGATCTCGGAACACCGAACTATCACGATTCGACTGAGAGTCCAGTTGATTTTGCAAGCCTAGGGACAGTTGCTTTCGGGGAATAAAAATAGGCCCCAATGGCGGCACTGTGTGTCTGACTGTGGCCTCCCTCTAAACTGAACCTGATCTGTCACACAGCTCAAAAAGGTTACGTGATATACTCATCAAACTGTGGTGTGGACCTACTGATGGTAGCCTGAACTTCCACTCTGCCTATGAGTTTACGTAATTTTTTCCAACAGTTTATTTTGGACTTGCACATGTAAACGCGGGGTTGTTGTGCAACGGAGTACCACTAGGAGTCATTTAAATTCCGCGAGCAGGGACCCCATCGATTTTTAACTACTGTGGTGAATGATGCATGATATCTGCCCGACTCTTTCTCTACTGACACTTCTTAGAGCCTTCTGTTGAAAGGCCCAGATTTGACGTTGGACTCTCGTTATCAGATCGCGAAAGGAATGTTTGAATTCGCGAAGGTGTCACGATGGACAGATTACCTATACACACGCACACAATCTTAGCGCGTCTTTTGGGGCAGTCTGTATTTCATTCTTTTACATTTCCCGCGGTTTGTAACAAAGCGGGAAATTAAGTCTTGTAAATTCAATTAACACCTAGCGTGCGGGTTCTGCTTGGTCTATAGGCAGGTGTATTATATATATCATTAGGATTGTCAGGATGGGAGTTTTTAAGAGCGTCAAGTGTCTAGATAGTCAGTTCTAGCGAGCACATAGACACAATCGGCACATTGGAATTGTTATTAAAGATTATTAGGTGGTCCAACACCAGCACGGAGGAGAGCACTGGCAGTTTTTGGATACAGGTTTCCAGAGCATTTTGGAATTTTTTTTATCCCTTATTTTTCCCGGAAGTTGCGTCCTCGGATGAAGTGCTTCTAAAATATAGAAGTAAGACATACGATCAGAAGTATGCATGGTTTTACTCGCCAAATGATGCTATATATTGTGTTTAAAATCAAAGACAGCACGAGAGAGAAACTGTACATTTTTCATTTAAGACTGACAGCAGTACAAACGACAGTTTCACTGTGGATCCATTTGGAGAATGATTCCGTGTTATGGCTTAATAACGATGTATTACACAGATAGCAGTTAATGCGAATTCTCCGTAATGGAATTTGAGATACTCTGTATAGAACTTAAAAAAGTTTACAGAATATGTCATAACTTGCAATCATGCTGAAATATAAAAGGCGAGGCATGACCGT